AAAGAAAGCAGGGACGGAAATCTGGGGAAGTCTAGTTGATTATGAAAAAAGATCTGGGAAAAGTGAATTTTCTTGTATAACAATTTTTTCTTTTTTTTTCTGTAAAACCGCTTTTTGTTGTGATATTGATGATGTATCTTGACCTTGGAAAAAAAAGCAATAAAAAATATTATAAAAAAAAAAATAAAAAAAATTGCAAAGTGCAGCAAAATATTAAATCAAAGCACTGAGCAGTTTGCTGGAGGTGGGGGGCTTTTCAACAACCAGAGAAAGCCCGACTGATGAGGGAGAGAAGGATCTCACTTCTCTGGATTGAATGCAGAACAGAGATAAAGAGATGCCTGTAGGAATTGCATGCCAGTAGATGTGGAAACTTCATGGATCGAGCAAGGAGGCATGATCCCGCTCCACCTTCATGCTCTCAGTCATTTCATGAGTAGAATGTGGGGACATTGTGTTGGGGCATTGAGAGGCTACCTTATACCAGGCGTAGCTAATTACATGTAAACTTATATGCGTATGTTACATGCAGAATATGTATAAAAGAGGCAAACCCAATGCTGTACTATATTTCCACGGCACCAATTTTAGAAACGAATTAAAACATACATATCATTATACAATTATATACATGTTTGCATGTATATGTTTGAAATGCTAGCTTAGGAAACTTGGAATGTATAAGCATATAGCATGCATGTAATATCATTTGTACAATAATGCATATATTGATGCATATACCTATACTTGAATTTTGTATATATATTAAGCAAAAGGGTACTGCTTCTTGCAGAGATTAAGAAGCAAGACAGGGATTAGAAAAAAAATTCATGTGGTTAAGATCGACATCAGGATTTTCAGATAATTCCATCCCGCATTTTATTACAATTCGCATCTATCGTGTCTTTGATGCTTCCAAACATCCACACACACAAAAAACTAACTAACTGACATTCATACTTAAGGGGTTGGAGGCATCAACCTTATTTAACTCCAGCATGTCACCAAGGCCATGCTGCAGCTCAGTACTGATTCCAAGTAGATGGGACTGCACACGTAGCGGCCAGCCGCTATGCCACATATATAGTTGGATCAGAGCCATCAGATTTTTGCTATTCAGCTCATTAGAACAGTCCGTGTTGCAAAAGACGATGAAACATCCTGGATAGATAACAATAACTATTAAAAAATAACTGCAGTGTATTTATTTCACACCAATGTTACCGCTGGAAACCTTTCTTTTAATGGTCATTGAGATAACAAGATGAGATTAATGATATCTTCCATTCACAAAGGTAGCAAACGACCTATTTTCAGTAAAGTGGAGGCACTTCATCTTAATCAACAGATGGCAAATTAATACTGAAAGGTTTATGTATTTTCATTTAGGTACACAAATGCTGGTTCTGTTTTCTTCTATGTTATGCTCGTGACTTGTTGGAGGGAAGCTGTTAAGGACCGAGCTGGGGGTGGGAGAAAATGCAAACCATTTTGGGGGAAACATATGTTTGTAGTCCGCCTCCTTCTTTTTGCTTGGGCCTCCCTGTGACTCAAGTCTGCAAAGCCTGAGGTATAGCTCTGTTGAAGGGGCAAGTTTAGGATAGTTAAAAGCATGTGATTCAAAAAATGTCAATGGCTCCATTCCCCACTCATTTATTTTTATTTATAAGCTTACTTTCCCCCCTTCACCATATAAGGTCCCAGGGTGACTTACAGCAAAGGAGTATAAAGTTATAAAACATAAAACTGCTAACAATAATAAAAACAAGTCAATCATTCCAAATGGAACACAGCAGTATAGATCCAATAAAAGGTGGGTACCACAAAACAAAAGATCTTAATTGACAAAGGCCAGGATAAAGAAGTAAATTCAGTTTACGGCAAGTGCTGTACAATGAAGGTGAAACAGGCACCTCAGTGGAGAAGGACTTACACAGCTTAAGGGCTGCCTCTATGGATGTTGGTGGACTTCTAACAAAACAGAAAAGGAGGCAGAAATTGCTGCAAGTTCACATGTTTGTCTGTGGTCTGGAACAGAAATCAGTTAAGTGAATGCAATTTGCATTTGTTCATATCATTGTTTTACAGTGTGTTGTGAATGTCTTTTTTTCCACATTGCTTTGACGTTTACACTGAAATGAATGTAAGTTACATAAATAGTTAATAGTGCAAGACAAATGACAGTATTTGTTGGAAAGTGAACCGTAGCAGAAAAGAAACAGTGTTGATGGTGGACAAGTGAACATTGGAATGGAAATCACTGTCTTCTTGCATCCCCAGCTGTCAGAGAGAAAGTTATCTCTTGAAGGACATTCCCACACACTTATGTGGGTGACCTAAGTACCAAGAAAGCCCCTTCTGCAGATCTTAGTATTCAAGAAGCTTGGTAGGGATGAAGACAGCCTTTTGATATTTGCCTTCCCACACCCAGTCCATTGCTAGTCTCTAATTTCATAGTTTCATAGTCTTCTGGCAGGAATCTTGTGGTGGACCCTATTGGATTCTTATTTGACAGAGTTCTTCTTTAGCCAGTTGTTTGAATTTCTACAGCTACAGATAATTCTGTCTGCCTTGCTAAGGGATGTTAGGAGTGCAGTATGAATGCTGAGAACTTGGTGTGCCCCCGCCCGCCCCAGACACAGCTGCTGGCTCAGAGCTTATTGCCAATACTCAGCCTCACCAATCAATAGAACATAATTAAGCAGCTTCAGAATGCTGCAGGCAAGCTCTGTTGAACACATCTGCTGGCTGAAACTCAAGCTGTGATGAGCATGTCATAGAAAGAGAGTGAATCCAAACCATTTATGGGTATTAAGGCTGCAGTCTTAAAACACGCTCGCACCTCATTGAACATAGTGGGAACTTACTTCAGTGTAAACACACAAAGGACTGGACTGCAAGGTTGCAGTTCTTTTGGCATACTTAAAAGCAGGGACAGAGAAGCTTTTTCAGCCTAAGGGCTGCATATGTGCTGGGATAACTCAGCAGAGCAGGAGACTCCTAATCTGAGGGACGTGGTTTTGAACCCAACATTGAGCAAAATATTCATACATTGCATGGGTTCGGACAGTGCTTTTTTCAGGAGGTACTCAGGGGTATGCAGTACCAGTACCTTGTTGTTGTTGTTTGTTGTTAAAAAAGTGTGGCACTTACTATAACAACTTTATGGTGATACCAGCACCTATTTTTCTAGAAAAAAAGCATTGGGTTGGGACTTGATGACTCTTGTTGGTCCCTTCCAACGCTACAGTTCTATGATTCCTTTCTGCCAATGGTGGGTTAGAGCCAGAGACAAAAAAGGCCAGAGCAACAAATGCAAATTTTAGTTTTGTACAGTATGCTAGTTTCTGAACATCCCCTCCTCTTTTCTACCCAGACAAGCAAAAGGCATTATCAGGGTTCACTGAGGCAACATGCCATAGGAGTCTGTGCAGCATGACGTGTGTGTGGAGAGAGAGAGAGAGTGCAGCTGTGGCTGGGGAGGGTGTGTGGTGTGGAGAGAGCCCTGCAGGTCAAACAGAGACCTGGTTGGCCACATTTACCCCCTGGGCCTTGAGGTTTCTCCACCCCACTTAAAAATAGAGAATTCCAAAAGAATGTTACAAAGACAAGGGTTACAAACCATCTGAAATGCAAGTAGAATATGATGTTTCAATTTGTTAGTCTGTGCAATCAATAAATTAAGGAGATTATAGGTATAGGTATAAATATAAAAAGATACCTGAGAAGGTTAAGCCAATCATGAGTGAACTGGGGTTCTTAACTGTAGTAAACCACAGGGTTATATTTAATTCACTGAACCAAGTTTGAATTTTGATAGGCTGTTGAATAAAAGCAGTTATTCTCTGCAGGTTTTTTTTAATATAGTGGATCGGTCTATTCCAGTCTGTGTTAATTTCACAAATGTTTATTCATTAGTCCTTTCAGTCTTATTTCCATATTAATCTGCATATTTTGTTTTTTTAAATCTGTATGAAAATTCGTACATGAATTTGTATTTAAATACTTTAATATATGTACTTCATAAGAAAATACATATTTATATAATATTTTTGCTCAGTGTATGCATTTCTAAATGTTTTATCCTATAATGCTGAGAGCTGTATTGCAAAGTCAGAGAAGTGCGAAATCCAAAGATTATGTTCCTTTCCATGCATAAGTCCAGGAGGTGAGAATCAAGTTAGTTTGCCTAAAAATATAAACCAGACAAAACTGTTCTTCATCCCTACATGTGGTCCAGGGTGTGATCCATAAGCTGATCAGAGCACACTTATTTGGGAGCAAGCTTCATTTAGTATAGTGGGACTCACTATGGGATAAACCTGCATAGAATCAGGCTGCATCTTATTAGGGATACAGGAGAAATTTGATGCAGTTCACATTTAAACCTACCTAACTCACATTTTTCAAAACAGTATAGATTTGAAACACAACTATCCTTTGAAATGCGGACTTCTCCAAATTTTACAGGGCAGTTATCCAACCAGGCAATATGTACAAAAATGTATATAAAATGTGTTGTATATCGTGAAAATAACATACAAAATGTGTTGTAATAGGGAAAACTTGCTTGTGAAAAAATGTATATACTAGACTGAAAGGAGAAATTTGCTCCATAATGCAGATGAATTTTCAAGAGAACCATATACATAAATATGTATGTATATATATATATCTAGCCAGAAACTGATGAGGAAATGTGAAGGACTGAACTTAAGATTGGGAAAATGAGAAACTGGGAGAATCTGTCCAAAATAGAGATTCACCCACCCATACTAAGTGCTTGTTTCAAGCTTCTATTCAAGAAGCTCTAAAACAACTTTTCCTTCAGATGATAACTCATCTCTGTTGACCATTTGCACAAACAGTATTCAGCTATGACAGAATGGTTGTATAGCAAGGAGAGTGGTAATATGTCACATTGGTAATAAAATTGATTGACTGATAAAAATTATCATGGACAATGATAATACATAAAGTTTTGTTTAATTGTTCTCTTCCTAGATGGTTGCCCAGGTCTGTGTTATGGAAATGGAAGATGCACACTTGATCAGAATGGATGGCACTGTGTCTGCCAGGTGGGCTGGAGCGGAATGGGATGCAATGTTGTCATGGAAATGATGTGTGGAGACAGCATCGATAATGATGGAGGTACGGGCATGCTTTATGACCCCCATGTTTTGTACAATTAGATCCTATGTATTGCCTTTTTGAGGGATGCAGGTGGCGCTGTGGTTAAACCACAGAGCCTAGGACTTGCTGATCAGAAGGTTGGCGGTTCAAATCCCCGCAACAGGGTGAGCTCCCATTGCTCGGTCCCTGCTCCTGCCAACCTAGCAGTTCGAAAGCATGTCAAAGTGCAAGTAGATAAATAGGTACTGCTCCGGCGGGAAGGTAAATGGCGTTTCCGTGTGCTGCTCTGGTTCGCCAGAAGCGGCTTAGTCATGCTGGCCACATGACTGGAAGCTGTACGCTGGCTCCCTCGGCCAATAAACGAGATGAGCGCTGCAACCCCAGCATCGGTCATGACTGGACCTAATGGTCAGAGGTCCCTTTACCTTTTATTGCCTTTTTGCTGTCTTACTTCCCATCCCGCCGAGGGCTATCTGTAATCAAAAGTAACTTACCATTTAAGTTTTTAGTACTGATCCTGTTTTGACTAGCAAGCTTGTTGCTTGCTCGTTTTAAACTAATTTCACTCTTTTAATTTTCTGTTATTTGTGAGCCTATTTGGGGCTAAAAGCAACTATATCACATGAATATTTAAACTGGCAAATAACAAAGTGAAGGACCACACGCAGAGTGCACAATTCAGACACGATTCTCTGAAGTGGGATAATAATGTGCCCTCCCAACCATTTCTTCCCACCTCCAAACTCTTCATCTTCAAATATGCACATAACATTAAAGGCACCTCTCTCAATCTGAAACAGTGCAACAGATGCACAGCTGTGGAGTGCTGATTTGAGCTTGTGGCGTACATCTGTGCCATGCTGGCAGGACTTAATGATAGCAGCCGTGTTCAGCTGATGCCCGCCGTGGCAAAAATTTCTGAGTTTTCTGAGAAATTGTCACATTTTACTACTTTCATTTTATTCCTGTTTGCCTCTCCCACTTTGCTCCTTTGGCACAGCAGCCACAAGTTCCTGACTAGGAGTGGCCTAAAATATCTGGAGGGCACCAGGCTGGCAAAAGATGATCTAAGTTGATATTTCAAATCTGCTGAAAAGGTTCACAACACACACACACACATGCTTTTGTATGTCAGCTATTGTTCAAAAAGCAGCAGGGATGGTTCCATATAAACTGCCTGTAAAGCCTATGCTGAAATCTCTGAGTGTGACATTCTCACATTAGAGCCTCAGGCTCCAGAATAATGGCACTACCTAAAACCAGAACCAACAAGACTGCAGATTGCAAGCAGTCTGGGTGAGGATCACATCACTTCTAAGCTTTCTGTAGAGCATAGAGCATGCTGTGGCTCTACAGAGATGTGTCCAAGCCTCCAAACAGATATTCACTCTGATTACCAGATATTCTTACTTAGGCTGTGCAGCTGGTATTGAGTAAAAGCGGAAGTGTTCCAAATTTGATCCAGGCCCCAATCTTGCCATCCTACAACCTGCAGTTACAGCCCTCCTTTGACCCCCATCCTTCTAAGCCCCCCCCCTTTGAAAAGAGCAACAGACAATGGTAGTTTTTATTGGTGTTTTGCATACAAAATAAGATCTCCAAAACCAAGGCCTCAAAAAACAATCCCAGCAGCAGAAGTTGAAACAATTTTAATGTTGTTATGTATTTGTCAGGGAACTGCCATCGGAAGGACAGGAGGTGGAAGGGCTCACAGAGGTTGAGAGAGACTTAGCAGCTGAAGAGGGAACCAGCAGGGGGAGAGAAGGAGCTCCAAGGAAAGTGAGTCGGAGGGATGGCTCAGGGACACTTCGAGCAAAATAGTGGGGAGGTTTCAGGACCTCCTATAGGGACACCCACTCCTCGCCGGAAACTGTCGCGCAGAGAGTCCAGAAGACGTGTTTCCGTTAAGGAGCTTTTATGCTGGAAGAGATTCCGTAAGCGCCCACTGTCGGATTCTGCTAGCGACTGACGGAGCCATGCTTGAGGGGCTCCGTCGTAGGCAGAGGTTTGCGGACTTGGCCAAACTCTGAGGGACTAGGATTTTACGCACAAGCAGCTCATCATCCCATCACAGTATTTCTTTTATATCCTGCCTTTCCTTCTGGAGGAGCCCTGAATGGCAAACATATTGTACTATAAAATATTATAGGAAGCATCCTAAAAACAGTGTCTGTTAATGTCAGTGGGCTGGACTAACAAAGGGTACAATCCTAGCAAGTATGTAGCTTGTGGACGCATCTATGCTGTTAGAGGCCAAAGTGCCCTCTGTAACTAGGAGTGCCTTCATTTTGTACACCAGCTGTAGCCATATCTGGATCAGGAGGATCTGACTACTAGAGTCCTAGCATTGGTAACCTTGAGACTAGATTACTGCAATGTGAGGCTGCCCTTGGCCCTGAAACTCCAGCTGGTGTAGGTGATGTGACACCTCTGCTAAAACATCTCCATTGGCTGCTCATCTGCTACCAGGCCAGGTTGAACTCTCTTATGTTAACATACAAAGCCCTGACCACTTGGATCTTGGATCTTTTACAGACTGCCTGAGCCCTTATATCCTAGCTGAGATAATCCAGAGTAGCAATGTTAGTTGCCCTTCATGCCACAGAGGCCCAACTTACCTCAACCAAAAGTTAGGCATTTAGTGTTGCCCATCTCCGTGCTGGGGAACATTCTTTAAGCAGAAATACATCAGACATCTTCACTTTTGACTTTTAAGTGTCTCTTCAAGATTTTTTTATGCCAACAGGCCCACATAGCAGTTTTGAATAACTTTTGTTTAACCATTTTAAAAAATTGTTTTGCAAGGTTTTTAATGTTGTTTTGTATTTTATTGTTTTATATTGTTGCTGTAAACTGTCCTGATATTTTATAAGATGGCAGCAGGGCTTTTTTTCCAGCTGGAACTCAATTCCAGCACCTCTCAGGTGGGTGCATTGCCATTATAAGAGAACAAGGGAGGTGTTCATGGTGAATTCAGGCACCTCTTTTATTAGAAAGATAGCACTGTGTTGTATATTAGTTGTTTGTTGTATATACAACACAGGACGCTGTTGGCGCTGTGGTCTAAACCACTGAGCCACTTCGGCTTGCCGATCGGAAGATTGGTGGTTCGAATCCATGCAACGGGGTGAGCTCCCATTGCTCTGTCCCAGCTTCTGCCAACTAAGTGGTTTGAAAGCATACCAGTGCAAGTAGATTAATAGGTACTGCTGCGGCAGGAAGGTAAACGGCGTTTTTGTGTGCTCTGACACTCGTCACGGTGTCCCATTGCGCCAGAAGCGGTTTAGTCATGCTGGCCACATGACCCGGAAAGCTGTCTGTGGACCAGCGCCGGCTCCCTTGGCCTGAAAAGCAAGATGAGCACTGCACCCGACAGTCGCCTTTGACCAGACTTAACCGTCCAGGGGTCCTTTACCTTACCTTTACCTTTACAACACAGAGCAAAAAATATATAGGAACTTGCTGTCATTCCATCCCAAATACTCTAGCCAAACTTGAACCTAGCTTTCCTACTTTTATTTTCCTTCCTTCCTTCCTTCTCCATTGTTTTTTTCCTTACTGATGTAGATAAAACTAACTCAGCTTATCATTCTTTCACATATAGATTATTGCACAGTATTATTTCTGATCTTCCTATCTCACATTGTAAGCTGCTTATCTCTGTCCTTAATTCTTCTGCTTACTGATCTTGCACAGCAGTCCAACATGTATCTCCTTTTTTCTTCTCTCTTCCTCATTTCATATTGAATAGGAGGTGCCGCACCTTGTTTTCCTTACCTCGCTACTCTGCTTTCAATATATTTACCTTCTTGCATTGTGTGACCAGGTGGCAACAGCCCAGCCCCCAGGGATATGGAATTAAAATTAGGCCAAACTTTATTAAACTTCCGAATGTAGGAAGACCTTGGCTTAGGCCTTGGGCATGTATACCTCCCAGTCCCTCAGCCGGGGGAACTGGGGCTCATCAGCGTAAATGGGATATGGGGGTGCTTTGTGAGACATAAGTGTAGCAGGCAGCCAAGCCCATATCCCTGCACGCAGGGTAGTTCATTGATGACCTTTCAGTGTATGGCCAGTGACACCCATACATAGCCCCTTTAAGAGGGGACCCTGAAATCCCTGCCGCAGGGGGGTGAGTCACCACATCATCCCCCCCATATAGGAGAGAAAAGACTACAGGATTCCACCCAAGGCCATAACCACCAAAGTTGTGACGAATTGCTACGGGGAAGACAAAACCTGGCAATGGAGGAAAATTTCTTCCCAGTCCTTCAACAGTAACCAGTCAAAGACTGTAGCAGCGCCCTCTAAACAGGAAGAAAAAGTTAATCTGCTAACAAGAAACATTAAACAAAGGGAGGGTAGGAAAGGTGAACCTCCAGAGCCGACTGCCTGGCTATTGTTGGCTCCACCCCTATTTATAAATGTGGCTGGGCCCACCTCCCAGCAAAAAACTTGATTACTGAGGCTGGGTGTGAACCTCCAAAAATTAACACTGAGAGGCAAGCCAGCCCCTATTTGCCAGTAAGCTCCCTGGGAACCGTAGCACCACGCGCGATCCTTCAAAGGGCACCCACAATGTAAAGTGTGAGTGCTCATTCTCCATTCTTCTGTTGGCTATTGCACCACCAACTTCATTCTAAACTCTCCCTCAGCTGGCCCCCACCTGCCTAGCTCTTTACTTACCACCAGTCCAGGGGCTGTTATCTCCAACTATGGGCCACCTAGCCTTTTATCACCCCCCATTGGAGATTCACCCTTCCCCTTCTTGCACAGGTACTTCATTGTGTGGAGAAAAAGTAGGGCATAGATGTATGGATGGTAAGCAAGGAATGCTGAAATTGTCGCCCGCCGCGCGCATGCGCGCGCACACACACACACACATATAATATCCATGGTGTTTCTATTGTTAAGTCTCTTTGAGATGTTTCCTAGGAAGAGATCGTAAATGCAGGTAAATAAATATATAATGCATTCTTCCCAGCCGTTGATCCTTTGGCTGCTGTATTGCAACATTTTTTCCTGTATTATCCATTTCAGATGGTTTGACAGACTGTATAGACCCTGACTGCTGCCAGCAAAGCAATTGCTATTCAAGCCCGCTCTGTCAAGGGTCCCCTGATCCCCTTGACCTCATTCAGCAGAGCCAGCCTCCTTTCTCTCAGCATCCTCCAAGGCTCTTTTATGATAGAATCAAGTTTCTTATTGGCAAGGAAAGCACTCATGTAATCCGAGGAGATGTCTCATTTGAGAGCAGGTAAGTGTTTTGTGTGTTTTCTTTACTACTGAAAGCTGCTTTCCAAATTGAAGGTACTCAACCACTACACGGGTAGGAATGGTTGGTGTGTGTGTGTGTGTGTGTAATTAAATGATCCTTTATAACTTCTTTGGGGAATATTGCCTGGTCTTCTCCACGCTTAAAATAAAGCCATAAACAGATATTTTAGATCTGCTGCATAGGTCTTTTACACATATATACTGTTTTCAGTTTTCAGTCATGAAATAGCGTTGACATGCAAAAATGTCCAATAACTTAATAAAAAATAGTTTACATTTGTTTACATTTAAAACAACAGGAAGAATGCTGCAGTCCTTTTAAAGCTTTTTGGGAAGCTCTGACCAAGAAGGATACTTCCTTTTGAAAGATAAATGGCCCCATGTAGAATCATCTCAGGAGCTCATGGTCACATTCTATGATATTTCTGTATTTTTGGTTGAATTCTGATGCTATTTTATGTTGCTTTGATTGATGTATATCTTGTACTTTTATTGTATGTTTCTTTGAGTTCATATGTGTTAATCTTGTTCACTGCTTTGGGGACCTTTGGGCTAAAAAGTTGTATATAAATGAAACGTACCATGCCATAAGGACTCCCCACATGTGGTAAATGAGCACACCACAGAAAGGATGATGTATGCTGATGCACTAGTTTGCTACACGCAGGAAAGGCTGTGTGTCTTTGGAATGTTTTCAGGCATAGGACCAAAATTTATGGAAGGGCCATAGCAGCTTAGCAGTAGAACAACATTTCAGTCTCCAGCATCTTCAGATAGGAAGGTCTTACCTGAAACCCTGAAGAGCCTCTGGCAATCAATGTCAATGATACTAAGCTGGGTGAACTAATGGCCTGACCCAGTAAAAGGCAGCTTCCTATTCCCTTGCCCAAAGAATTCAGGGGCTATAACAGAATAGGCTCTGACTGCTGTGGAAGGAACTGTAGCTCAATGGTAAGTTCATAGTTTGGATGCAGAAGGTCAGAGGGAGGATTTCCTAAAAGACCACGGGGAGGACCTTCGGAAGGATAGCAGGTGTCTGGCCACCTCCTTCGTTTGGACTGAACTCGGCTCCACCTCCAGACAAAAACGATAAAGGAGAACCCTAACAGGCCAATAATTGGTCCGAGATGTCTCTGCAGCTTCTCAGTTGGAAACATTAATGGCGCAAATTCTCCTGAAAAAAGGAAAAAGATTTTCCATATTTTGAGAAAAGAACAACTAGACATCATTTGCCTTCAAGAAACACATGTGACTAGGCTCCATAAGGAGAGTGTTAACCAAACAAAGAGACTAGGCCAAGAATTTATCTCATCAGACAAGGTTAAAAAAGAGGAGTAGTGATTTATGCAAAGGAGACCCTAGTACCAAAATTGATTTTTAAAGATGAACAAGGAAGAATTTTGGCGATTGAAATTCAAGTACAAGGAGAAAAATTTTTGATTGTAGGAATCTACGCACCAAATGATGGGAAATCGGAATTCTAATAAGAAGCTGCATGAGACAATGTTGGACTATATTGACTATACTAACATCATTTTGATGGGAGATATGAATGGAGTTGTCTCCACATATATGGATAAGTCACAAAATCAGAATTTGACCAAAGATGGCAGACTTCCAAAGACTTTTTTTGAACTTACAGACAATATGGATTTGATTGATATTTGGAGGACAAAGAATCCTCTAGGTAAAGAAGGAACATTCTTTTCTGAGGCCCACCTATCCTGGACAAGAATCGACCAAATCTGGATGTCTAGAGGACTGGCCCCTAAGACTAAAAAAATAGAGATCTGCCCTAAAACCTGCTCCGACCATAACGCCTTGAAAATAGACTTGAGACTTACACCAGCTGGATCCTTCAGATGGAGAATGAATGACTCTTTGTTTAGAGATCAGGAGATTGTGAAGAAGGCCCAAAAAACATTGAAAGACTACTTTGAAATAAATTTGAATACTTCGGTGGAAAAGAAAATAATCTGGGACGCGAGTAAAGCCGTTATGAGAGGGTTTCTGATACAACAGAATACTATCAAGAAAAAACTCTGGAATGGTAAAAAGGACAAGATTTTGGAGAAGATAAGAGACGGTGAGAAAAAGTTGAGACTAAATCCAAAATCAAAAGAAGTCTTAAGAGAAATAAAATTCCATCAAGCACAATATACAAAATTGATAAATCAAGAAGTTGAATGGAAAATTAAACAGATGAAACAAAGATCTTTTGAATCAGCAAATAAATGTGGGAAGCTGCTGGCATGGCAGCTGAAAAAGAGACAAAAATTGAACTTTGTTACCAATTTGGAGGTTGAAGGAGAATGTATTCAGAAACCAGAGGAAATTAGAAAGTGTTTCCAGAGATATTTCAAAAAAATTGTTTACTCAAGAACCCCAAGTAGAGACCGAGATAAATAAATTCTTAAAAAACCATGGCCTGCAAAAACTAACACAAGACAAACAAACATCCCTGAATTACAAAATAACACAACAGGAAATTGAAAGCGCCATTCAGAATATGCAATTAGGCAAATCCCCAGGCCCAGATGGACTTACCTCCAAATATTATAAGACATTGAAGGAATATTTGGTTCAGCCACTAATGGAGGTATGTAATCAAATTATGGAAGGGAAAGGGGCACCAGAATCGTGGAGAGAGGCATTCATCACTTTGATACCAAAATTGGAATCTGAAAAGACTCAACTTAAGAACTACCGACCCATCTCACTCCTAAATGTGGATTACAAAATTTTTGCTGATATTTTGGCAAATAGATTGAAAAAAGTATTAAATGAAGTAATTCATAAAGACCAAGCTGGCTTTCTCCCTGGCAGGCATTTGTCTGACAACACCAGGAATATCGTTGATGTTTTGGAGTTACTACAGACAAATGTGAATACGAAAGCAGTTTTGATTTTCATAGATGCGGAGAAGGCCTTTGATAATATATCTTGGAAATTTATGAAGAAAAACTTGGAAGGGATGGGAGTGGGTAGGGCGTTCCAAAATAGTATTGAAGCAATCTATTCAGAACAAAAAGCTAAATTGATAGTAAATAATGTGGTGACAGAGGAGTTCAAAATTGAAAAAGGGACACGACAGGGGTGCCCCTTATCACCCTTGCTATTTACTTCTGTCCTGGAGGTGTTGCTGAACTTGATTAGGAAGGATCAGCGGGTGGAAGGAATACAGGTCGGAGGAAAACAATACAAACTGAAGGCTTTCGCAGATGATTTAGTTTTGACATTACAGGAGCCAGAACCCAGTACAAAAAGAGCTTTAGAATTAATCTCTGAGTTTGGTCGGGTGGCGGGATTCAAATTGAACAAACAAAAAACCAAGGTCCTGGCAAAAAACTTGACAACTTCAGAAATAGAGGGGTTTCAGAAAGAAACGGAACTAAATGTGGTCACAAAAGTGAAATACCTGGGGGTCAACTTGACTGGGAAAAATTTGAATTTGTTTAAAGATAATTATGAAAAATGTTGGTCTGAAATTAAAAAGGACTTAGAAACTTGGTCAAGACTGAAACTTTCCTTGTTGGGAAGAATTGCAGCAGTCAAGATGAATGTATTGCCAAGAATGTTGTTTCTGTTTCAAACCCTTCAGATCGTGGACAGAGTGGAGTGTTTTGGAAAGTGGCAGAGGGACATTATGAAGTTTGTCTGGCAGGGCAAAAAGCCCCGAATAAAATTTAAAATACTAACAGATGCAAAGGAAAGAGGGGGATTTGCCCTGCCGGACTTAAGATTGTATTATGAAGCTGCATCCTTCTGCTGGATGAAGGATTGGTTTTTATTAGAAAACACTGATGTCCTAGATCTGGAAGGGTTTAACAATGCTTTTGGGTGGCATGCATACTTGTGGTACGACAAGATAAAGTTTCACAAGTTGTTCAAAAACCATATTGTCAGGAAAGCTTTATTCATTGTCTGGACTAAATATAAAGACTTATTTGAAAGTAAGACACCGAGGTGGTTATCACCAATGGAGGCTAAGGCCATAAAACTACTTAACATGGAGGGTGGCTGGGCAAAATACTCTGAGATAATAGAAAGAGTTGGTGACACGTGGAGGTTGCAGAGTTTTGAAAAGTTGAAGGGAAAGGTGCGAGACTGGTTTCATTACGCCCAAATTTTAGAGACCTTTAAAAAGGATAAAAAAGTTGGTTTCCAGGTGGAAAAATCAAAACTAGAGACAGAACTACTTGAACCTAAGACGAAAGTGCTTTCAAGAATGTATAACTTGTTGCTTAAATGGAACACTCAAGATGAGACAGTTAAATCAGCTATGATAAAATGGGCACAAGACATTGGGTACAACATTATGTTCGAAGACTGGGAAAGGTTATGGACCACCGGTATGAAATTCACGGCATGTAGTGCCTTAAAAGAAAACATTATGAAAATGGTATACCGGTGGTACATGACCCCAGTCAAACTTGCAAAGATATATCATCTGTCAGACAATAAATGTTGGAAATGTAAGGAGGCTGAAGGAACATTCTTTCACCTCTGGTGGACATGCCCGAGGGTGAAGGCTTTTTGGGAAATGATTTATAATGAGTTGAAAAAGGTATATAAGTATACCTTTCATAAGAAACCAGAGGCCTTCCTCCTGGGCATTGTGGGCCAGAGAGTACTAAAGAAAGATAGAACTTTCTTTTTATATGCAACGACAGCAGCAAGAATCCTTATAGCCAAATATTGGAAGGCACAGGAGTTACCCACGCTGGAAGAGTGGCATACGCAACTGATGGACTACATGGAATTAGCTGAAATGACTGGCAGAATCCGAGACCTGGGAGAAGAAGCAGTGGAAGAGGACTGGAAAAAATTTAAGGACTATCTACAAAATACTATAAGTTATATGAATGTTGAGAATTTGCTAAGTTTTTGGGAAAAACATGCTTCAGTATTGAGATTTGAGAATGATGGAAACTAAGTTATGACTGTGAAAACTTTAAATTTTAGAATATATAATTAGAAGAGA